CAGACTTTGCGGACTTAGCGTACTTAGATTCTAGTTAAGAACGCTATGTTTTTACCAGTCAGCCGCGCACCCGCAGGATTTTTCGGCTCAAAGAGCGGAGAATGGCGGAGAGGGCAGGCTTACAAGACTACACGCAATTGGCAGACTTCCTGCGATGGGGCTGTTGGGTCCGCTATAGGCGGTTGGGGACATCAGACGCATGTCTCGCATTTGTCTCCCGCCGGAGGGCGGGGCAAAGACTCGGCATTGTCTCGCATATCTCGCGTTTGTCTCGCACCAATGAGCGTAATCATCCGGCAGCCACAAAACGTCTCTGGCGGGATAGTCGCGCCTTGTCTCGCGTTTGTCTCGCACCTGGCAGCAGAGGTTTGTTTTTTGTTTAGGAGTGAATGCGCACCGCTGCAGCATTTTCCGGTTCCGCGGGTATAGAGCAGTGTGTGCCCCCCTCTGCGCGCCATGTCCTTCCTGCGTTTTGTTGAGTTTTGCGATACATGACCGGTTCTTCGAAAAACCTTGGTTCTACCAGGTTACAATTAGGTCAGACTTAGGTCGCGCTTGTACTACTTAGGTCTAAGTAGACTTAACATAGTTATCATACTGCTAAGTATAAGTACGATAAGTATACTTATAAGTACAACGCCTTCTCAGTAGGCGTCTGCATTCCATCCAGTGCCGTCGATGGAGTCGAGGACTGCGTCATTCGCCGTCGTGTCGGCGTACTCATGGATCAGGTCATACATTGGGGGCAAGACATTCTCATGATCCATGTCATTCGGTGGCACTTCAGAGGTGTCCGCGATGTTGATGACCGGGTGCTCCAAAACAACATTGTTGGCCACAAGGGCGGACCATTCCTTCTCCATAGCAGCATGGAAGGGCCGCTGGAAGTCCTTCAGGTTGCAGGTCTCGGTGAACTGGACCTCAGCCTCTTCATCAGACTCGATCTGGTCGTGGAGCACGAAGAAGGATTGCGATGTCCTCTTCGGTGAGGCTTTCTTCTTAGCCTGACTTCCTTTTCCCTTGCCCTTCTTGGTGTTGGAGCGTTGAGGGCATTCTGCATCGCCGGACCAGTGACCACGTTGGCCGCAAGTGGTGCATGGAGTGACGCTCTTCAAGAAGCGAACAGCTGACTTGCGCTGTTCTTTGGCCTTGGCATCAAAACTCAATTCTCCGGTGGCCTTGAAGGGATATGGACCACCTTGGCCTCCTGAGCTTTTCTTGGGAGAGGTGCTGAACTGCTTCTTCTTCTTGAACTGAGCAATGGTGGCGTATGCTTCAGCCACCTGGGAATCATCTAGCAGTTCTCGATTCTCGCTCAGGAGGGCCTCCAACTCTTCATCGTCGGAGTAGTTCACGAAGGCCTCATCAGCCGGCTCGTCATCCTCAGGGACCTCATCTTCGTAGAAGATCTCTTCGCCGAGGTCGGCTGCGGGGTCATCATCCTCATCTTCATGGGTTGCAGCCAAAACTGAACGAGCCTTTTGGGTCATCTTCCACTTGTAGCGGCTCTGAGGTGGGCCATCGTTGAAGCTTCGTGAGCCTCGACTGGCCCCCAAATAATCTCTTCTTGCAAGTGGCTTGCCCGTGGCTTGAGGGTATTGGATCCTCAGGGCATGACTGATCTTCTTGAAGTCATACTCATTGCCAACACTTGCAAGGACGCTCAACTGCTCGCGGTGGTCCAGGCCGGAGAAGATCAGCAACGTCATACTGCGGAGGTTGTCGGAGACCTGGGTGCCAGATGATGCTTCCAGCAACCGGTTGAAGTCCTGCTCCCTTCTCACAATATATTGTTGCATCGTCTCTGAGGGCTTTCTCCAAACCTGGGGCGAGTAGAAGGCGGTCAGGAAGAGCTCGTTGATCCTCACCGGAACTTCAGCAGCTATGGACTCTTTGAGAGTCCGGATGAGGAGCTTCATGCCAGCATCAGTCGCCTTTCCATCCCTCGAAGTGCACAGGGATTCGTGGCTCAGCTTGCGAACAGCATCATAAGCAGCGGCCGTGAGCCCTGAACGAAGGTGGATCGGTGTGGCGATCTGGGTGGCGTCGTTGCCAGCTCTTCCATAGAACAGGTCCCAAGCCCGTTCCTCATATTCTTCAAACACATCTGCCGTCCCGTCGAACTGCGGGACTCCATGTCGGTCACACTCAAGGCGTGCCGACATCGTAGTGAGGGCGTGGGCCCTGGATCTGCAGCGGCGGGGGCGGAAGCCGCGGCCGAGCAGCCGCCAGGAGCCAAGGCGGCGTCCGCCGTCGGACAACCGCTCGGGAGAGCGAGCGCGCAAGGCACGGCGCGAGCTAGCGCACCGCTAGCAGAGGCCGCAATGAAGCGGCTCCGCCTATAGTGGTTCGTTTTTACTTGTGGCGCTTGCAACTTAGTTAAGACACTTACAGGACTTAAGCAACTTGTAAGTAGTACTTAGGGAACTTAGGTTTTATTAGTTTTTTAATTATAACCGTAAGTTGTATAAATTACTTGTAACTAACTTATAAGTTCTGTAAGTTCCTGGGCGACCAAAAGTATAGTCTCAAACAAGTTTTTTTAAAAGAACCAAAAAATTAGAAAAACTAAATTTTCGTCTTGAGATGGGCAGGCAGCTGTGAGAAAAACTAAGTGTTCGTTTGCAGATCCACGTGCCTTCGTGTCAGACCACATGAAGCGCAGCCATAGCAAACACTCCCTCAACACCTCAAGCTGGAAGTCTGCATCTTTCTCAAACCAAGGCATGAGAACCATGATGTTGGCCACGCTCATCCGAACATGTTCTGCGCACAGGCTGGTCATGTCTACCAAAACTGCTCTTGTTCTTTGAACTTCAATGGCAACTGATGTTCAATGATTGTTTCTTCAGCTTGATTCAGCTCAACCCTTTGAAAAATATACAGGGGTTACATATAGGTTGGCTGGTGGTCAATTGATGGGCTAGATCTAGGTTGGCTGGCGGCCCATTGGGCCGCCCAGATGTGTTGGTCAATTGATGGGCTAGATCTAGGTTGGCTGGCGGCCCATTGGGCCGCCCAGATGTGTTGGCTGGCGGCCCCAGTGGAAAAATACCATATACTCTAGACTCTAGACCTTATGCAAAGGGTCCTGTACCAAAAGTACTAGTCCTTGAAAAGCAATGCATCAAACATAAACCTTGATTCATTTGCCATTGAACCATTCAAAACAGAACTACCATAGCTTCACCTGATATATCTAAATATTCGGGTTGCTGACCAACAACTTTCACACACATAAATTTTGACTAGCCGATTGTTTTCACATATCACGGAATCACAAATGTATAAAAATGTATAAAAATGTATAAAAATGTAAAAATCAATGCGGACCTAAATTTATACATGTATAAATCAAAAAATATCAATTTATACGTGTATAAATCACCCCATTTTCAATTTATACATGTATAAATTGATAACAAAATCGATTTATACATGTATAAAAATGTATAAAAATGTATAAATTCAATTTCTGATTTTTAAGCATTTTGCTTGTCATGCGATGAGCTTTTATCAAATAGAATTCATTTCTCAGAGTTGCCAACCCCACCACCTCATAAGTTTAGACATTCCCTGACTCCCTGATTTTTTTAAAAAATCCAGGAGTCAGGATTTAAGTTTTGCTGATTGAGAGCTTTGCTGATTGAGTGCAACAATGCTTTTTGTTTGCTGGCGTTTGCTGGCTCCAAGTGTGCGCTGCTCATGCGACGCGTCCTCAGCTGCCGGTACTGCTGAAGATGGAGCCTGTGCAGCCTAGGAGGATGACGTATGCGGAGCAGCTGGAGGCAATGCGGCCACCTTGCGGGTTTTGCATCCTGGCGGACGGGACCTTCCTGCTGTCCAACCGGCCGGAGACCTACACGGCGGAGATGGTGGTTGATGCCTATGAGGCATGGCGAAAGATGAAGGCAGATGGCTTAGTGCGTGAGACCCGACCTGCGGCTCCAAGAGCGACATCCATCATCTGCTCAAGATGGCACGCGGTTCAATGTATATATTTTTTTGCAAGAGACACAACCTGCGGCTCAATGAGCCGCATGTTTTTTTATACAGGAGCAACATCCACAGTGAGCTGCTTGATGAACACGCGATCGGAGCATGAACTCGATTTCAAGTTTAAGAATCAAAGTGCGAAAAAAACACGATTTGATCAGTTTTGGTGTAAATTAGAAAAACTTGAAATTGTATATCTCAAAAAGTTAAGTTCCCTAAGTTAGTTATAACTTATTTTTGACTAGTTTTTGATAATCTAGATATAGAACTTAGAAATTTCTAACTTTTGCTAACTAACTTGCAAGTGCCACATCTTAACATAAAAACTTGTGCTAGTTACAGAACTTGTAACCCCTTCGTAACTAAGTTACCAACCACTTACAAGATACTTACAAGTTCCCTAGCCAAAAATGAACCACCAAGTATACCATCAAAATCCGCGAGACGGCGCGCCGGATCGAAGGCACCTTTTTGCTTGAACACTCAAGAGCGCTCTGCGGCGCGGATGCATGGTTTCATGCGCAACTGCATGCCCTCCAAGGATGTTCAACTGCCATGCTTCATGTCCGTTTCACATTTATATTATATTATATATATATTACATATTAACGCGGCGCGCACGCGGCTAAAGTGAAAGTGGTTCCGAGATGTTCCGAGTATGTTTGCATTTGACAACAGCATCCATGAGCAACCACCAAAACGTGCAATGACTAGTTTAGTAAAGTGCAGTCATGAATCTCACGAATTGGGCTAAAACCTCAAAAACAATAGCCCTCCCTCAAGAGCCATACAGTGACCATATTTATATTTCCACAGTTTTTGATATGTTGACATTGTGGCTAAAACCCGCGAAAGCGATAGGCCCCCTGAAAAGCGGCAACCTTGCTGAATCATGTCTTTTGCTTTACAGTACGTTTTGGCAGACGCTCACATATATAGGCACAGTTGACAGTTGAAGTCCAACCACGTGCTGTCATTTTCAATCGACAAGTGACTTGGCTCAGTGCCTCATCGAGACTTTGATCAGCTACGTGTGGCCTTTCAACAGGCACAACTGTCACCAGCCGCCGTAGGTTGCAGGCATAAACATAATGCCATATTCAGATGATAGATAGCTTTGTTCGGTAACATGGAAACTTTGATGGAATCATACTAATCAGATGGAATCAATGTTCGAAAAGGTTTGACCATCAAGGACCTCAGTGCAGCCATTCGAATGTTCGAATGTCCACCACGCCTCCAAGTGCACAAGTCTCAGGTCTTCCTGATGTTGCGAACGTGGCTCACAAATATCTGGTTTGTTGTACAAATTCTCACCAACACTTTCTTGTTGAGGAGGGAAAGGAGGTACAGTAGCTAACAAGCAAGTAGGTACTAGGAGACGTAGAAGAGATCAGGCATCAGTTCCCCCCAGCCTGAGGGTGGCGGGTGGTTTCCTTGAAGAGCCTCTCACATGATATGATTCCAACAAAATTGTTGTCCAACCATTTTGGTCAACAACTCTTTGAGAAAAAACATGACATGCAGGTTTTGGCTCGGGAATGTGGTTTCCCAATAGTGAGAACGAGAGAGAGAGAGAGAAGAGCCGTACACCAGCGATCATTGACACCAAGATATGCCACAAGGTCAGCCTTCCAGTTTCTTCAACTATGGGCATCCAGGGCTTTTATGTGCCTCTTACACAGGTTCAGCATGGTCAAGCTATTTAGCCTTGCTTGCTTGGCTCCTTCACCTCAGCTTGCCTTGCACAGAACGACATCGACCACGACGGCTACATTCCAAGGGCCATTGGCTTGAGGTGCAAATTGCTCTGTCTTGACTGACATCTATTGAATTATTGGCAAATGTGCGGAGGTTCACGCGGGATTAGGTACTCCTGTGCAAAAACTTAGTAGGACAGTAGGATATGTTCTTGAAGAAGATCGAGAGACATCATGCTAGCAAGGCCAGGAAATGTGCAAGACTAGGTTGTTTCTGGCCTGGGCTTTTTGGAGGGGTGTATGTGCTTGATCATCCTTCGTAAAGTGCTAGACTCGGACTGACTGATCATCCTAGATCCAGCTTCAATGCTTTTGCTTTGGATGGCTATGGTCCACAATCCATACCTTCACTCACCTTGCTTTGATCTAACTAAGCCTGTACATCTCAATGTTTGGAGGCTTCTTCTGAGCCGGTGCCAACTGAATGAGGCACCGGGTGAAGCAAGAAGGCCAAACTCGCAACAAATCATAGGTCATGCTCCAAGCCAAAGCACAGTCACAATAAAAAGATCTATATAGAACGTCAGTATATTCCAGCCAGCTTTCAACTCAGCGTCAGGAATTGATGGATTGTTTGGCTGAAGTACTTTCGTAGGATGTATATAACTATATGTATATATATATATGTATGTATATATATAATATAGTATAATATATATATATATAAGTTATATATATATGTTTGATATATGTAGGGTTGTGTGGACCCCAGCCGATTAGCCGTTTGTATTAGTTGTGTGTAGTGACTCTGAAATTTGTGGATGGAGTCTTGCAGGAGCCATGATATGTCAATAAAGATCGGGTCACCGACACGTTGCCAGGCTGTTGTTCCAGCTCTGAACATCGTGGACCTGGGCCGCTCAGACACGTCTGCCCCCTACCTGTGTGTGACCTTAGGTGACGAGCGAAATTGCTTGACGTGTCGGTGACTCCGGAAATTATGTGTGAAGGAGCCTTTTACTGTAAATCCTTCAAGATAAAAGCAAACTCCGAAAGATCCTACAGTATATACCACGATGGATGTGGGTCAAAACCTTTGGGGGCCCCTGTCTCAGACAAGCCACGACAAGCTTGATTTGCGCCACATTGTGCCACAAAACCACGACACGCTTCAGGTGATTTCTTGTGACAGCTGTGACCAAGGTGTGACCTTGCTGCGATCGCCACAGCTGACTTGATTGCCAGAGAGTTGCGAACCCAAAGTGAAATTGTGAACGGCACGTTGTATGAATTTTTCTCTTTAACACGACCAAACGCGCTTGAAGTGCTCTTGGCATCAAGCTGGCTTTATGTAGTGTTCAATTCGAGGTTCTTTGCCGCTGGACCAACCAATGCGCCTTTGGTACCTCGATGGCAATTGCGACTCCATCTCCAAAGTGTACTGGGCACCCTGTTGTGGTTCCTTTGGAGGGCAGCACTTTGCCCTCTGGTGGGGCTTCCTTGAAGATGCGTGAGCTATCCTGTGTGCGTTCTCTAGTAGCAGGTTACCTAGTAGTTTGTTTAGCCCAAGGGCGGGCTAAAAACAACAGAATATACTAAAACATGTTTTCAATTGTGGGCTCTGCTCAGTAAGGTTGGCCCGTTTGGGGCAACTGACTTGGCACCTCGATTGCTGAAGCGTTTCTTCGAGGTGGGAGGTGTTGAACTGTTGGGCGTGTTGAACAATCGAACTAAGTAACAAGCTCAACTAAGTTAAGGTTCAACATGTTCTATTTTGTTTTGGTTCCCAGATGTTCGGAAGAAAGCTCAAGTGAATTGGATCATAGGGACAGCTTTCACCATTGACTGTTTGGATCTACTGTGTGGTTGATGTGATGTAACACCTTCAGGTTTCTGGTGTAGCCCAAAACATCTACGTTGTGTGCGGGGCGGGGCATAAATTAATCAATCCCAAATCTATTCAACAACTTGATTTGATTGAACTGATTCTGGCAACTTTAGGGCGCCTTTTGACACACCACTCATTGCGCTTGAAATCCTGCTGCCAGATATTTGCGGAGAAGCGGAACGGTGTGCCAAGCGCTTGCCCGACATGTGTTGGAATGTCAGGCACTTCCTGCTCTATATTGTACTATAGTGCAGCGTTTTCCTAGTCTGCCGCTTTGGAAGACATCCTCTACCAACTGGCATGCACAGAGCAGTGTACAGAACTGGTGGATATCCGATATCCTTTGTTTGAGGTGTTTCCCAGAGCAGCTTGTTTTCTTGCTCATTCCACCAGGCAGCTGTGCAGCTGCATGCCATTAGGGCAAAGCTTCGAACTGCAACGGCCAAAGATGTGGAGGTGCAAACTTGTGAAAGGAGCTTTTGTCGTCTAGAGAGCAATCTAATGCAATCTTTTTATTTGTTCCTTTCTCCTTTCTCGGGACTTTTGGACAACTTGTTCCTTTTCTTTAAGTTGGAGCCCCTGAGCCCCTTGGTTTGTTTTGCAACTTCTGCTCTTCAGGCATACGCCAAGATTAACTATGACGAGTTGCTGTCCTGCCTTCCAGAGGACCTGATATTTCAAGTCTGGCATCCAGCATCCAGTTTTCGGATTTATATATATATATATTTGTATATATGGGCTTGCAATGTCTCGAACCAGGGGTGATAGTCGGATTTTGAATACCCACATAAGTTTTTAGCAGCTACTGTACATACTGTGGTAGCTATTCTTTTTTGACTGCCATAGTTCGAACGCATCTGCACAGCCTATGAGAATCTAGTTTGGACCCCCAAACACTATACGCCAAATGCTATCCTAGAGGTATGGTGGAAGCGGTTATTGTTCGATGCTGGTTGCGAAGGATACAGGAATCGATAGCAATGTTCTGACTGCACAGGTGTGGGGGGAAACGGGACACTTTGGAGTTGGAGAGGTTGAGACATGCAACACGCGCACGGCAGTGGTAATCACTATTCACTTGGTGGCAGGCAAAGGCTTCCATGTGACTCCAACTTGACCACTTGACAATTAAGTCTCAAACTTGAAACGGAGTGTAGGGCGGTTCTCCAAGGAAGCTCCCCGTTCTGTTCGGGTGAGTTTCCTGTCCGTCGTAGTGTACTACACAGCTTCCTGTAGTTAAGCAAGTTCAAGGTTCCTAGATTTCCCTTATCTCTCCTACCTAGCCCCGCTAGCCCTCTGCCAAATACAGATGACTAAGACAGACATTCCTACACAGGTTTTATCCGATGAGCAATGATGTTTGAAACTTGTCTCTCTGACTCGCCACTTTTGGCCAGCTCTCCGCGAGTGCTGGACGCGGAACGTCCGAGTGCTCATAAACGTGAAAACAAATAGGAACAAGATGGAACATGGTGGAACAGCTTTTCTTTTTGGGGGGTAGGCCGTGTAGAGGGAGGTAGGTTAGCTAGTTTGGTAGCTAGTAGAAGCAAACGGTAGCTAGCTAGTAGCTTAAGTAGCTACTACCTTGGACGCAGGATAGCTTGCGCTATTCATTTGGTTCCTAGATTTTTAGGGAAAGACATGGAAAGACGTGCCGCTGAATTAAAGAGCTTCTGCCTGTATCCATCCTGTGGTTTCCATCTACGATTGAAACTATATGAAGCTATATATAGAGGCAAGCATAAAGTTGGGCACGCCCGAATTTCAGCTACACACACAATCATATTATACTGTATACTATTGAATGTATATATATATATCTGCTTCAACTAAAACTACTCCACTGAATTTCGAGACCAAACTTTCGTGAATCTGCATTGGTAGTCCGTCATCGTCTCTTAGCTATCAATTTGAGCCAAGCTTTTAGCGTCAGGGTATTTCACGGTATTTCATTATTTTCATGACCGGCCTTTTCATGATTTTCATTGCAAGTTATGAACCTTTGATGTTCTTCACATCTCGCGACTTGTCAACGCTCAGGCCTCTTGGCACAGACCAGGAGCTGTCACCTTTGAGGGCTGACTCGCCCTGGGAACTGCGCGCGCCTTACTTTCATGTCGCTTCGTTTGTTGGGAATTGTCAGGGTTCATTTTGCGAAGCAGAATTTTGGCCTCGCCTCAAAGAAATAGATACCTCGCACAATTTGCTCAATCATTAAAGCTCAGTTTGCACTTAGTGTAACATTGTGAACATTTGCAGTGCCAAGCAAGGCCAGCTTTCCTGGACCTCTTCGGCATCTTTTATACATGTAGTTCGTTCAGGGCTCAGGGAAACGGAAAACGACGGGAGATGGCATACAGTTCATTAGAACTCATGACAGTCTGGTTTCTACTTGTGTCTTGGATTCGTTCATAGAAATGGTACAAACATGAAAGTGATGAGTCGATGAGGTCCAAACGTGATGACTCACCTGGCTCTATTCGCATGTATTGATTTGGCGACCCAATGACCGTCGCCCAAATTCGGTTGCAAACCGTTTGCACGCGTTGCACGGAACCGGTCCGGTGCTCAAGCCGGCAAGCAGTCGAAAAATGAGGGGCACAAGAAATCAGCCAGCCGAAATACGCTACAACCTTTGGGGGTTGTTTCCGCCTTCATCTCACAAAAGATTAAGGAACCCTCACTTTACTGCTTACTTTCTACTGGTAGCTTCCCTGCTGCCCCTAGCTTCTTCAAGCTACAGCCTAGCTGCAAGATCCACGGCACTGCCCACCCGTCAACAAAGACAGGAGATAGGAAAACCAAGTTCTAAAGGCAGGATGCTGAAGTAAGAGGATCTTAGTTTTATATAGTAATAGTAGGACACTCAATAGGACTTGCGTAAAGTAGCAAGTTCGCAAGTGGAGACTGTGACCGGTGTGATGTTTGCAACGCAACCGTTTGGCTCAAGGGCCGGGGAAATGGCAGGCTAAAGGAACCCACCATGTCGGGATCTCAGTGCATGTGTATAGGGACCCTCCAAAGCGTTTCAGAGATACAACCAGAAGGACTCAATAGGAAGCATACAAACATCCCGCAACATCCCGCAACAATTGTTTGTCATGATTATTGCCAACGTTTTTCCTCTCGTTGTTTTCAGATGTGATGGTTCCCAGTCTTAAACCCCTGGCTGCTTGCATGCAACGCACCGACGCACCCCTGACAGCTCTTGTGAATACTCCACGCACACATTCGGGTCAAACATCGCCGCATTGGGCAATTCCATTTACTATATATGTACAGCAGTGTAACAAAATACATTCAAGACTTGAGCTCTTTGGGGATCCCCTTATAGCAATCCCTTCTTTATCATTCTTTCACACTCTGATGATGCGAGCTGTACTGATGTGATATGATGTGATGGGTGCTGCTGTGCTAAACTGGTCAGTTCTTGAAGCACATCTTCTTTCTTGGGTGCACAAGTCACAACACCGCCCCAGGACTGGGATGCGCGGCATGATATGTGCCGTGGTGGCACTCCTGGTCAGTTTCCCAGAGCCTAGGTTCTCACATTGTGCGAAGAGCTGAGTGCTTAACCGGGTGTTGAACATGACAATCTGATACAATCTGAACATGAGTCAGTTTCATTTTCTTTCCCTCACCCACATTTCCTTCCGCAGAATCTCAGCATCAATTGGATGTGGGAGTCTGGGTGTATGCATCAAGTGAACTTGTTCATTCTACACGACCGGTTCATCACCAAAGCACCTGTTCTTTGCAAGATCATCAAGCTTTGGCATGTTTGTGGTTGCCGCGAACATGGTGGTATCATCAGAATATGGTGTGAATCAACAGCGTTTGCAGTGGATGCCATCGCAATGGCAGCAGCACGAAAGCTGGTGCTCCATTTTGACGTGAATGAAACCATAATGGTTGGAGATCCAGCGTCCGGTGTTGATTTTGAATCTTCACTTAACCACATACTGGCCAAGGTCGCTTTTCTTGACAAAGATAACAAGGATTTCTGGCACGATGGAACTCCATTGGATCTTGCAAAACGAAAAGACGGTGAGATTCCGCCCTTGTTGACCAACTTTGATGCGGAAACTGGGCCAGTCCTGAAGTGCTACGAGGCAAACCGGAAGAATGCCTTGTGGCCACCATCAAAATTCACTGACCCTGGCCTGCCAGGAGAGATTTATCGCCCGCTCTTTGAGGAATTGAAGCAACAGTTGCAGTGGAAGGCTTCAAAGAACGAAGTCTTTGCTCCAGATGGCCATCATTTTTTGCTGCCTGCGTTCTTCCATACTCTCGCAGAGTTAGAAAAGCAAGGCAGAGATTTTACCTTGGTAATTAGGACCTTCGGGACAGATTTGCCGGAAGTCGCTCGGTGCTTGCAAGCCTTTGCCCGAGGAGAACATCCAGATTTTCCGCAGAAGTTTGAGCGCTTTGGCTTAGCTTTGGAGGATGCGCTGTGGGTTTTACGTCGGGAGGACCGCTCCGATGTCCAGAGCCCAATCTACTTGCGGCGTTATGAGGAGCATTTGGGGAAGGAAGGCTTAGGCCAAGACATGTCTGCACCTGACCGCGTGAGCTATACTGACGAGCTTGGCCCTGATGAGAAGGTGGTTGATTTCATCGCATCCAAGCCTGTGCTTGCCATCAGAGATGACTACCATCACTGGCGCAAGATGCGATATGTACCAGAGTCCGGAAAGCCGCTGTGGATTTCATTAGATGATGATGTGCAGCACATTTTCTTTGACGACAATATTCACAACAAGGCCCATGACTCCATTGTGGCTGTTCGGGCTCGCAAGTCTTCGAGTGAACCGTTTCGAGCTGTCTCCGGGGAGGTGACAAGGTTGCTCGAAGGAGTGCTACTTGTAAAGGCGCATCCAGTGACCTTGCCTAACGCTTTAGTATGCTTTCGTCACAATTGTGGAAGTATACAGTTCCTGGCTGAAATGCTACGTATGTTCAATGCACACAATTCAATGCGCTAAAAAACAAAACCTTCCGCATCCATGACTAGCACAACAGCTTTGCGGAGCTGCATGTTGCTTGTATTGCAGTATTCTTTGTGGGGGTTGTAATTTTGATTAATGTTGTATAATTTGGTTAATCCAACGAAATTCATGCTATGAATTTCAGAATCTGACAGTTGTGCCGGTAGCCAGACAAGTCCTTTCCAAATCCCAGGTGGAGGCAATCCGCGACAAGGATTATTTCTTGCGTGAAATCCAACGATGTGAGGAGAAGTTCGAGCTGATGTCGAAGCATGGTAGCCTGCGAGGGCTCTTGCAACCTGCCTAGCAGCACTTACACACCAGCAAATCCCATCAAACCTATATCACGCCGTTGAGACCCTTCTGTGGTTCGTGCAGCTTCCGGCTTGTGCAAGAGGAAGATGGAAAAGGACATCGGTGCGGCGGTCGGAGTCGTGTGCAGAATAAACTTGCACGGGAGAACAACACTGACTCGATGAATGTGGGCGAGCTGTGTACCATCTGATACCCCAGTGCGACATAAGTGACATAAGTAAGGCAAACCGGCAACGCAAACAACAATGCATGGGATGGACATCAAACAAGAAAAATCATCAAGCATCAAGCATCAGTGCTTTATTTATGAACCTCCATTTGACAAGGGTGTTGATCCAGTTGTGGATTGCGATTTGGACAGATGTGTTGGGGAGATATGCCTTTGGACAATGCACACTCGCTTGTTATGCATAGCTGCATATTATATTTATACAATTTGCTTGCGCTTTTGCTTGTTCCACTGCAGCGAATGAGGTGCTTGTGGAAGCAGCTTTCGATGATGACCAAGAGATCCAGGTTAGTCGCTCCCCGAGGTCTGCGTAACGGCAAAGGAGGCCGACCTATCGATTTCCACTGGCACCAGACACAGATGGTTCAGATGAGGCATGAACAAAGTCTGGCCATACTCCAATCCAACAGAGACGTTCGCCTGGCATGCTTTTCAAGCTTGCTAGCTTGCTCAGCTTTGTCTCAGGTATGGCTGTTGTTGCTGGATGTTGATGGTGGTGATTGGACGGGCCACAATATTGAGGGTGCCTGAGTGGCAGGTACGAGTACTATGACTTCCCATTCTGCAAGCCCAAGACCGTTATGCCTCACTTTATGACCCTTGGTCAGGTCAGGAGCTCAAGTTGCTTTGCCCTAGGGCTACCCAATTTTAGTGGGCATCGTACATGGGCAACATTAACATGCATCATCATACTTCATCGTGCGGTATTGCCAAAAGATAGATTTCTTGTATGCTGCAGATATGATTCTCGGCAGGATCCTGTGAGGATCAAGCTTGTTTTGCCTTGCGCACATGAGTCTTTTTGTTATTGTAGTGAGCTGACCTAAGATGCTGACACCGGCTTTCTACCATCAGTGGTTGAGAGTTACTCCTGAGGTCCTGCGAGGTGATAGATTAGCAACTCAGCTCAAAGCTACTCTTGGTCGCCCTGAGTTGCTTTTGCCCTATTTGATGCTGCTGCTGCGGCCCCGCAAAAACTCGTTTTCCCATGCTGCAAAGCAACTTTGTTAAACACATGGTTTCTTGGCGCAATGAAACTGCTACGAAGCTGCTTTTCCCTAAACTGCTTCAGGTGAATTCACTGTATCCAATGCATATGAAGCGACAGGTCCCAAGGACCGTGATTTGCCAAAGGCAGGTGTTTGTTTTGTTAGTTGATTTATTTCATTCTGTTCCTGTTTTCTCGTAAGGCCGCTCCTACTCAATTAAGTAAGCACCTACTTCATTAAGTAAGGGCGACTAGGTCGCTCCTAGCAATACTTTAGCTTCTAGTGATTTGGTCCCTAGGATTTTAGGGAAACTTAACTTGATTCGCAACACAAATCAGTGTATTTTTGACCTCATTAGCAGCTCGTTTGCTTTTGCATCACTTCACAAGTAATTAGTGCTCTGGAAATCTTTTCCCTGAAGCTTGTTCTTATTTTCTGTGCTCGAGGATTTCGGGTAGGTAAGCAGATGTTTGCCTCATATATGCTTGCACCCTGCTGTGGCTCTCCTGAGCAAAGCATGGGCAGCACAAGTATTTTGTGACAACATTACAAATGGGACTTAAAGTTGAAAGGTCCTCAAGCAGGCTTGGTCAGATTAACAAGGTGCACAAGAGTGCATTTGTTGGGCAGGCCCATGAGCGAAATGGACATCCTGAAATTCAAGGCACCTGAGCCAATGATTTGAGAGGCTGCTGTATTGGCTTTAGTTATATATGTACACAAATGACGCATGTGACCAAGAGCTAAGATGAGCTAAGACTTGTGAGAGGGTGAAGACGGTACTAGTCTCAATTCGCGATTATAGACCACTACATGTACACCAAGCCCATCAAGCCATGAACAAAGAGGGTCAAAGAGGATCAGGTTAACAAGCACCAAGATTGGATTTTGTCAAGTCTTAATTAATATCCACATGGGTGTTAACACTGGTGAGGAAGACTTGAGATTTCCTTGGCATGCACTTTTCACTTTGAGCTTTGGCGCTGTCAATCACGCTGCAGTCAGCCATAGATCAGAACTACATGTTTGAGCTCTTCGTTGGGGAGCTTCCCATTGCCAGCTCCTTACCTGACGACCGTCACCCTAGCCTAGACCTG